TACAGCTTTGGACACAAAAGGAGAAAAGCAAATTAAATACAGGACTGAAAAAACTCTTCTGTTATCAAAACTTGAGGAGCCTGCAATGCCACGCTTACTAAATTGCTGGAGTTGGTAGAAATAGCTCAGCTCCAGAAGAGCATTACAAGGGATTGGTATTCCTATTATGGAGTGACTTGTGCATCACCTGGTGTTACGGCAGGCAGGTTGGCAGTCAATGGGCAGGAAAGGTGATGTTGGGTGAGAGAGAGCAACATGAGCATTTCACAGCTTGAAAATAAGGCAGAAAGAAATTACAGGCAAATCTACCCCGTGCAAAGAAATAGGGAATGACAACAAAGTTTGGTGATGAAAATGCTACGAGTTTTGAGGTTGACTCCAGAGAAGAAACTATGGCCCTGCAAAACTGCACACTGTCCATGTTGGTGGTAGGAGGGCTGTACCTGGCTCATGATGGTCCCATGGAGGCTAACTGTCTCGTCCATCAGCTGCAGCAATTTTTGGAACTCCTTATCATGGTAGTCAAACCGATTGCCAAAGGTGATGGAGCAGATGATGTTTGAAATGGCATTATTGATTTTAAAGTGAGGGTTGAAAGGATTCCCTGAAGAAGGAAAAGGGAATGATCAATTCTCTTCCAGTCTTCACAGAAAAGGAGAAAAAAACACAGTTGTCAGAGGTAAAATATTCAACAAATACGAGTGAAATGAGTGGCCCCTGATGGGCACCCTCCCATCTCACTGCTCTCCTGGGATGCCTCGCCGCCCCCATGAGCTGGCCAAGCTAGGCTGGGCAGCCCCAGCAGTCCCAGTTCAATCAGATTATGGAGATGTTTGTTTACTTTGGAAAGCAAGGTCTGCAGAAGAGCGGACGTCATTTGAATTCATTGGAAACATCAGTGTTTACACACACATGGAATTTTCCAGAGATCTCCAAGAGAGCAATAGGCTGAAGGTGGGCTATGGATAATGCTTTGGGTGTTACCTAGCTGCATTCACCAGTCAGTTTGAAGGCAAAACACCTGTAAAAGGGAGCTGGGATGCAGGCAGGGTGCTAGCATTGCTTGCCAGGTGAGGTATTTTTCAGCATGCAGTGAATCATAGGTGAAATTATAATAGGCCATACCCATTCCTGCCTTCAGCACAGCTTATGAGGGCCATGGCACTCACCTTGCTCATCCCCAAATGCATCCACGAGGCCTTGGCACTCCTCCTGGATGCGCTCCTCCAGGCCCCTCTTTCCCAAGCCGAAGTTTCGGAGGGTGGTCAAGGTGAACCTCCTCTGCTGCTTCCACAAGTTCCCGTTGGAGGAGACCAGTCCTGGCAGAAACACCCCACCATGAGCCAAGGCAGATTCCTCCACTGAGGGGAAAAAGCTCCAGGGCTCTGCCTTACCTCCAGCCATCTCGGACCTCTGCAGGGTCAATGCTTTGACCCTACAGCTGAAGTATGTCCCCTGAGGGATAACTCACCCATGCTGCTGAAGACCTCGCTGTCAATAGGAATTTCAGGGCGATCTATGAAGTTTTCCCCTTGGTTTACAAGAACTTCCTTAACCATCCGCAGTCCGTTTATGAACACAAACGATGTGCTGCCCAGCTGCATGCTGAAGATGTCCCCGTATTTTTCAGTAAGCTGGGAGGGGGGTGGGAAATAAATAAAAGGGGATGCATTTGCAATGAATCTGTCTGTCAGGACATGGACAGCCCTGGTAGGGGACACAGGTGAAAGTAAGGGAAGCTGAGCGCGGGAGGGGAGAGGGGGTGTTTGCACAAGTGTCTGCTTGTCTGCGTATGGTCTTTTTTCTTTCCTCTTTTCCCAAATCACTGATCAGGAGTTGGTGTTAACTGGCCATAAATCAAGTAAAATGCTCTAGGTTTGATTTTTCAGTCCTGTGTTATCCAGCCTTCATTTCACTCCCTTCCCAAACACCCTTCCAGTCCCTACTCAGATCTATGTGGCTCCTATAGCCGTGACTGCACCCGTGGTGTCATGCTGTGCCCTTTGCCCAAAGGATCACTCCACACTTGTCCCCCTCCTCGTACCCGGGCAAACTTTATCCATGTTGCTGCTGACCAAGGGCAAACCTCCTGTCCACCCCAGGGTGGGCTCCTCTGAGTCCTCATGGGTCATGGGATTTGGGTTAACCCCCTCCCCGCGCTGCAAAGGTTGCGTAGCCACAATCCCCTCCATCCCCTTCCCCGCGGTGCCCACCACCCCCATACCTTCTGCACCATAATTTGGGGATTGCTGAAGTTCATCAGGTGGATGTGCCCCACAAAGGGGAAGGAGAAGGGGCTAGGAGGGAAGTGCTTTGGCTTTCTGTGCTTCATGTAGTCGGCGACGAGCAGGAAGACAATGAGGAAGACAAGGAGCATCTGGAAGGAGATGCTCTCCCAGAGGAAGCGCAGCATGGGTGGATGGTGGGGCTCCGCAGGGATGTGTCCCCTGGCAGGTCAGGGCAGGTTGAGCTCACAGGGCACCACCAAACCCCCCAGGGACAGGGGGAGATGGGCAATGTGCTGCCGTAGCTGTGGGCACAAACACAAGGCAGCATGGAGTGGCTTTTGTTGACCTGGCCTGGAGGCTCCGTTCAGACTCCTGCTTTCCCAGGTTTCAGCAAGGACCGTTTGATTAAACCCCTTCTTGATGAAACTCATGCATTTCCTCTAATGTCATTAAAAAAACCCAAATCAAAACACAAACCAAAACACCCCCAGCTCCCCCTTTCCCTTCCCACCTCCCACTGTCGCTTTACAAAACCCCAGTGATCCGCGTCCTTGTCTAAAGGACAGAAACGAGCTTTGCAGAGCTGGGATTAAAACCTTCCAGCAGCCTTGCTATGCCGTTCCCACGAGCCCATGGCTCAGTGCGAGCCCTGCTCTCTCCTCCCTGTGGTGCCCTCACCGTGCCACGTCCCAGCGTCGGCTTCACGGTGCCGGGGAGGCTCCAGACGCTTCGAGCACCTCGCGCTTTCCTCGTTTGCAGCTCATTCACTGGTACGAAGAGTCCCAGATCAAGCCCTAGGTCAGTGGGGACATGTGAGATAAGGTTGCACAACCCTTTCACAAACCGTCTGACTCATGGGTTGAGGTTTCGGTGTGTCAGGGTGATGTGGCCTGGCAAACAGCCTGCCAGGATCTGCAGCAGTTTCTAAGCACCGTAATTTTCTGATCTCCGCCAGACAAGTGCAAGCAGAGCAACCTGCTCCGGCCGTGAGGTTGGCCCTACCCCGAGCCCTCCAGCCTTCTCTTCCCACCTGCCTTGGCCTTTGAGTCTGTAGCCTGTGCTAAAGCTGTACCAAAGCCCAACAAAGCTAAGGCAGGTGCTGAAAAGCCAAAGCAGATGCCCAGCTCTGCAGGCTGTGGCCCTTCGGTGGTAGCTGGTAACAGGCTGTGCCGAATTTTCCCATCTAAGAATGGCTCTGAGAAAGGTAGTTAATCATGCACATGCACCACATTGAATTTTGACATATATGTTGCATTTTATTCTGAAAGAAGCAGGGGCACTTGCACCAGCAGTTTGCCATTGCACCATGTGGCTCTGCCGTGGCCGTTTGCAGTTGTCAGCTGTGATCTCGTGCTCTGGGGGATGATTTGGGTTCATTTTCTCTCTTTTGGGGACAGCAGTTGTGGCCGTTGGGGTTGTCCAGTGCTGAAGACAAGGCACAGAGATGCACCAGCACCACTGGAGCAATGCCATGCATGCAAGAGCGAAGCCGCTGCATAACCTTTACACCTGAGAAACTTGAAAAGTTAAATCACTGTTTTATTGTGGAACTTAAAGGGGAAAAACTGTTTTCAAGGAGAATCTCTCTTACCTCTAGCTTTTAAGCGCACTTAGCCATGATTCTGTGGAGATGCACGTGTTCCCCTTCACTCACATGAGATGTTCTACTCAAAAAACAAACAAATTAATGCCTCCTGACTTTATGGTATAGGATCATTACATTTAAAAATGGGGGGCGGGGGGTGTTTGGCTTTTTCCCCCAACTGATTTAAAAAAAAAAAGTAAAAGAAGACGACTTCAATCTTCAATCTTCTCCATGAGTAGGGAAGGAAACCCTAAAGTAACAGGGAAAGGCAAGTTTGAAATGGAAGAGGGAAGAGATCAATATTTGTTTACTAAGGCAGTGCAAATAACACAAGCTGTAGCCACATACCAGAGGTCAGACCTACACCAAAGTGAATAAAAAAATGGAGAGAAACCAGTGCCTAGTCCTGAATGGCTTTGAAAACTTGATAGGTGAAAAAAAGTCCACAGATCTTTTATGTTTTTTTTTTTTAGAAAGAAAAAAAAACCCACAGGAGCCTGTAACTGCGAAACAGTAATTAAAAATGCAATAGGATTGAAGTGATCAGTTAGAAGGACAGCTCATTGACAAAATCCCTGTGTGCCCAGTGTGGCAGGGATGTGATGTGCAAAGGACTCTCCCATGTGGCATAAATCTGCCACTGCACAGTGATTGCTTTGTAACGCAGCAAAGGTGGTTATTGCCAGAGATGGAAGCTAAAGCCAGTGGAAATGAAATGTGATTTAATCCTCTTTTCCTGTTAACTATTCAGTATCCTTCGTGGGTGCCCATAGAAAAGTCAGTCATGAAAGGGGAGAAGGAAAAAAGAGGAAAAACCCCCAATCTTTGCTGTGACTATATTCCAAACAAAAGCACACAGGAGACAGCATTTCTAAGCATTAATGCTTGGTCACATAAATGGAAAAATTCTCTACAAGTTGCATATGTAATTACTTCTTTTCCAAAGAGACCCTGGTATGGGCAGAAGCAATGTCTCCGTCACAGGCGGTGCCGTGCCCCTCGCCCACCTCCTCGGCCCCACACTATGGACATGCCTGTTGCGCATGGCCACAAATCTTTGCCAGAAGTGGAAGGGAAGCGGGCGAGCTCATGACTTCCCACCGCAAAGCCTCCACACCGCCATTTCCTTCCTGATGGCCAGCAGTGAGCCGCCGCGGGCACGACCCTTCTGACATTCTCTGCTGCTTCTTGTTCTGTTGGGCTTCGGCTAAACTACTCCTGAGCAAGCCCATGCAATTATTATTTTGCAATGTTTCTTTCCCCTTGTGTATTTTACTACCACAAACCTTTTTGGATAAACCTTTCCCTCATACAGTTGCAATATTGCATTTTTATAGCCATTCATGACCTGGAGGCATGGCTCCTCATGCCATCCCACTTGGGTTGGCATATGGTACAAGCTGCTTCTACCACCCTGTAGCCTCCTAATTAAAACTTCCATATATGTATGGGATTTAAAAACTGCATGCTCCTGCTGCAAGGATCTCTATTTCCATTCCAAAGCAGCAACAAGGTGGTATGGGGAACGTACACCAAACCGAGGCCAAGGCCACCTGAGCCTAAGGATCGGCCGTGGCCACCTAAAAGTCCAAACTGGTCGATGCATGAACCCAGAGCTTGTACATCCAAGGCCAGCTGCCCCCACTGACCAGGGAGACCTCAGAAAACACAGCCCGTGGCCATTCAGGGTGCTGCAGCATTGGGATTTAGGAGTTGCTAAATGATGTCTGAGCGGTGGACATATCCTCTGTGAAAGAGCCACCGTGGACCCAACTGTGCCCATGGTTTTGCAGCTGGCAGACACCTTCCTGGGAGGTGCTAACAGCAGAAATTAAGTGATAAGGTTTTTTAATTCATGCATTTTGTCAAACTGATAGAGAGGACGATGCAGGAGGTGAAGGGAAAAGCCCCAAGGGTTGTCCTTGTTGCAGTGTGCAGGATGTGGCCCTCCTGCCCTTCCCACTGTCACCTGCATGTGGGTGGGTGCTAGACATCCGTGGCTCATCATTTTGGCCCAAAGTCTATGGGACGGATAGGAGAAGGGGCACTTTCCAGGCTTGTGGTGGGCTGAAGCTGGGGGGCGCGGGGCAGCCCCACACCGGCCTCAGTCACGAGGCAGCACGCGGATCTGGAAGGGCTTGGGGCAGCACGTGAGGCTGAGCATGAAGGCGAAGGTTAACGCAGCGGCCGCCGGTGCCCGGAAGGTGAACTTCTGCAGGAGGGCTGCAAAGAAGATGAAGAGCTCAGTCCTGGCGAGCTGCTCCCTGGGACAAGCCCGCTTGCCTGGAAAAGGAGCAAAAATAACCCCACCGAGTCCCGAGCAAGCTTCAACCACCTCTCAGGCTCCTCTCTCATGCGCCGCCTTGCACAGGCTGCAGGAGCTTTTCTTCCTTGAAAGGTTAGGTGGCAATGTTCACCCACACATTTTGCAGAAATCTTCCCCAGAAATTTACTGCTGAGCAAACTGCGATGGTTGTTTGGATAGACGAAGAGGGGAAACTCATCGAAAAAAAGCCAGTTATGCAGCTTGCGCAAGAGGAAAAAGCCTTATTTTTTCATCCTGTGATAACAAATTGATTTCCCTCCTGCTCCAAGCAGTCAGTATTAACTGTTATAGGAATTTACACTGTGGGAAATGCTGGGCATGGGCTGAAAGCCGGACAAGGAGCAGTAATCCCTACTCTGGAGGGGGTCTCTTGGGGGAAAAAAAAAGCATTGCAAAGAGGAAAACCAACTCCCCATCCATCATCCTACCTGCAGAGAAAAGCGGGAAAGCCTCCCGCCTCCTATACTGGCTGTTTTCCAGGAAATGTTCAGGATTAAAGGTGTCTGGAGTCTCCCACACATTTTTGTCGAACATTATCGAAGTCAGGCTGGTCATCAGGGTGGTGCCCTGCAAGAGGTGGAGAAAACAGGCGATTACATGACGGAGAGGAGCTGATGTGTTGTCAGACTCATTTACTATTAGCTCTGTTCCACACACAATTGTAAACTACATTTTTTTTAAAGGGCAAAATTTTTTTTCCTCAGCTATGTAATTAAATGAGGGTGAAAGCCTACAGGATTGTTCACTTCTGTGCTCCTCTGTATATCACCACAGTGTTGATCCGTACCTTGTGCTGCTGTGACTGGTGATGTTAATATAAACCATCTTTAAATTGATAACATTGTGTTCCCATAGGAATTTGAAGCAATTTAACTAAATAATTTTCAGTTGATCCGCTTTATTGTGCTTTCTTTTTTAAAACCTGATCTGGTTTATTTCCACATCCTCCATCAGAAAAAGAAAAATATTTTAATCAGTGTGGAGCAAAATGCCCATATTTTTTTATCTTTAATTTTCCTTGATGCAACCAATCATATACATGGAAGAGACTAGATATATCTAAATTTCATATTTGCTTTCATAATGCCAGAACAGTGTGTACGCATCAATACCTATTACCTGGCTTTTACCAAGAGCTACTTTTAATAGATGATTTTTAACACTCTGTGGAATTAACGAACTCAAAGTGTTTGCTATTCCATGTTTCTTGGCCCTCTATTCCCATAATACCTGGAGGGTGTCTTGTACAAAATTTAAGGGATAAACCTTGTAAAACTGAAAATTTTGACCAACACTGTAGGATCTCACAATTCTCCTCCATAAGGAGGTGAGACCCATAAGAGCCCTACAGCGTCCATCAGGAGGGCTTATATTTTCTATATAACTGTGATATCTCCATAAGATCCTGCTGGTTGTTTCCCCTCCAGATGAGAACTGGGACTTGGGCCATGAAGACCTCGCTCTGGTGGGGCAATGGGAGGGCTGGTGGTCTCCACGTACTTGGGCAGGTGGAAGCCAGCCAGGGTGGTGTCGCTGGTGGACATCCTGGGCACCCCCAGTGGCACAATGTTGCCCATCTGCAGGACCTCACTCAGCACCGTGCTGGTGTATGGCATGTTCTCTTTGTCGGCCATGGCAGGCTGGCAGAACTGGCCAATCACCGTGTCGATTTTGAGTTGCACTTTCTCTATGGAAAGAGAGAAAAAAAAGACCTGTACTCAAAAGGTTCCCAACAAGAAAACTGGGGCATACGCATGTCCAGCATGTGGTAAAGCTGGAAATACTCTGAGTTTCACTTATCTGGTTTTGGGCTAAATGAAGGACCCATCAGTGGCCCTACCCTGAATGTGGGGGTACGTGGCCATGTAGAGCAGAGCCCAGCGGATGGCGGTTGCTGTTGTCTCAGTCCCGGTTAAGAAGAGGTCCAGGGTGGAGCACAGCAGGTTTTCCTTATGGAAATATGAGCCGGTGGCACCCTTAAACTTGGGGAAAAGCATGGCAATGAAAAGTCTTATTAGGGAGGAGATGCTTTCAAGAACCCAATCCAAAACCATCCATATATAAGTCAAGTCCTGCTGCTATTTTATTATCCATCACCCCTGGACTTGGAAATTTCTACCCCTTACTTTCACTTATTTACAAGCCCTGCGGAATGCTTTGAAAGACACTCTGTTTGCTGTAGAGCGACTTTTGAAAGCAGGTAGCGTTTTCAAATGTGAAGTTTCATGATAGCAAACACAGGCCTGCGAGCTCTCATAGAAACGTGAACATGTTCCGAGAGTCCTCCTACGCTGCATAACAGAATGGAAAATGGAAGAAGACAAAGTGCAAATACTTTCAAATGAAAAAAAAAAAATCTGTGTGTTTTCAAAGTGATCAGGCTCCTGCTGTTGCTAAAAGCTTGACGTGGAAGAGGTAGGGAGGAGAAGGTAATGTGGGAAGCACAGGCTCCTCTGACAGAAAAGCCTTAGAATCATAGAATCATTAAGGTTGAAAGAGACCTCCAAGATCATCGAGTCCAACCGTCAACCCAACACCACCATGCCCACTAAACCATGTCCCTAAGCGCCTCATCTACTCGTCTTTTAAATACCTCCAGGGATGGTGACTCAACCACTTCCCTGGGCAGCCTGTTCCAATGTTTAACTACTCTTTCAGTAAAGACATTTTTCCTCACGTGCAATCTAAACCTCCCCTGGTGCAACTTGAGGCCATTTCCTCTCGTCCTTTCGCCAGTTACTTGGGAGAAGAGACCAACACCCACCTCGCTACAACCTCCTTTCAGGTAGTTGTAGAGAGCGATGAGGTCTCCCCTGGGCCTCCTTTTCTCCAGGCTAAACAACCCCAGCTCCCTCAGCCGCTCCTCATAAGACTTGTTCTCCAGACCCTTCACCAGCCTCGTTGCCCTTCTCTGGACACGCTCCAACATCTCAACGTCCTTCTTGTAGTGAGGGGCCCAAACCTGAACACAGTATTTGAGGTGCGGCCTCACCAGTGCCGAGTACAGGGGCACGATCACTTCCCTAAGTCTCATCTGCTTGAGTCTCATCTGCTCATTTCTTGGGTTAAGCTTTAGGTGACTTTAGGCATTTCCCTCTTACCTTTTCTATTTCCTTCAGGTAACAGTCAATATAATCTCCTGCCTCGGACTGGTCCAAATCCTCCTTGTGCTTTGCGATCACTTCCTTCACAAAATATTGAAGTTTCTCCCAGTGCCTGAAGATTTTCCTAAAGGGTCCTGGTAGCCATCTCATGAACAAAGGAAAAGCATTATACAGCTGGTGAGAAATCAAACAGAGCAAAAGAGCATTTCTTGAGTTAAAAAAAAGCAGGTATCACAGTTGAGATGGAAGTACAATTTATGAGTTCTGCTTGCTACCAGGAAAAAAAATGCTGCAAAGGTCAATTTAGTTACACAGATGTAAACAAGTACAAACAAGATAAGAATGGGCCAGATGTTTTCTGCTGATAAAGTTCTCTAATTTTGGGTGGCCAAAGCTGTCACCTAATGTGAGGTGGCCACTGGAGTCATAAATCAGTGTGGATGCAGAGGAGCCCCTTAGTGCTGGAGTCCATGGAGGGGACAGAGATCAGACCTGGCCCATGGTGTGCGGCCATGCAGAACCTATGCGCAGTCTGTCCCCAAATCCACCTACTTTGGTTATAAACCTGGACTCTCAGACAGTTTTGTCATAAATAAAAGTTATTTGAGAAATTAGTTGGGAAAGGGGTGGGGGAAAAGAAGGGAATTTTCACTGAGAGTGATACTAATTGACTCTTCTTTTTGTAGAAACATAGATATTTTTAAGGTTTTTCCATTGCTCTTCAGTTATGTCAGGCATAAGATTGGTTTCACAATCCTGCAGTGTTTTTTCTCCATGTGCCTCAATAATTTTAACTTGCTTTCTTGCTTTCCTGAAGGATTTTGTGTATAAACCCAGTCTAATGTAAAACAATACTGGTGGTCATTTCCCTTATAACGTGACTCTTCTTCTACAGGGAAAAGCAGATTACATCAGTGCCCTAGAAATTCCAGTTTCTGAGCTCTTATATGCAGCTGAAGCTAGAAAAGCTTTACCTGGCCCCAGAAACTTCTGATTAGCAGCAGTGTTTCAGCCAGCAAGTGCAGTAATTCCTGGAAACGGTTGTCATGGTAGTCGAACCGGTTCCCAAAAGTTATGGAACAGATGATGTTCGAAACAGCACTATTAATTTTATAATGAGGGTCAAATGGTTGTCCTGGAGGAAACAAAATGAAAGACAACTTTTTTTTTCTTTAAAGTCTCAGTCAAAACCACATTCTCTATCAGATCAACAGTTGTGAAGTTGGGGTGAGACCTCACCTACTTTTCACCCATGGTGATGCTAAGGCTTCACCCCGAGTCCTGGGGTCCCCACCACCCCCATCACCTCCAACATCCTGCTGGAGGTTGGACGTTGTGTGCCACGGCATACTTTCTCCAAGGACATTCCCTCCTGTCTCCGGCCCAGGCTACTGGCACATGCCAATGTTAGCGCAGAGCTGCTGAAGCAGGGTTTGAACTGTTTTCCAGGGAAAACAACTGGTAGGATGCCACATTATGGCTGTCGGGTTTGCATGCTCCAACATGTTTTTGGTGTCAATTTTAAATGCCAAGAGAGGGTCCCTCAAAGCTTAGCCTGGGGCAGGGAGCTCAGGACTAACCACACTGCAGAAATGCCATTGCACTGGCCTTTAACTGTCCACCACAAAGAAATCAAGTGGGATGGGAGAGAGGGGAGAGGGTGAGGACTGCAAGTCTTTGCGGCCGCCTATAAAATCCAGCAATAGTTCATATGGCCCATAGATGTGATGCACATAGCTCCTAAAAGAGTAAAGTGTCAGTGTGACGTTCATCATGTCTGCATTCCTTGGAAGAGCTATCGAGCAGAGACCACCATCTCCTACGGCACATTTAGGCAGCCTGGAGAGCTACTTGCCATGATATGAGACACTAATATCAGTAACGAATTCAGTCCAGCCCTGAGCTGCTGTTGGTACGCTGGGGAGCATCGCTTTGAAATGCAACGCACTCTGCACAGGACTGCTGATCTCTCCACTGTTCAAGAAAGTAATTAAACTGGGCTGGTGCTCAGATATTAGAGTGATGGACATGATCACTATTTGTCATTACTAATGGGGAGAAAGGCCTAAAACAGCAGCTTAATTAGTTTATTGATTAGGACTGTAAAGGACTATAATCAATTGGCAACATGAAGTATTTGGCCTGTTCAGTGCAACAGCAATTGAAATGGAGCAAGTTCAGTATATAATTTCACAATTCCTATTTAGATCTTTCTTGTTTACTATATATAGCTCCATAGAATTAGCTAAACCCCATCTGCTTCTATTTAAAGCTGAAGTGCAACATCACCCATGTACCAACATACAAATTATTCTTACTAATATCCCTCTGGCAGTTCTTAAAAGCTGGACCATAAAAGAGCAAGGCACATGCTTCATCTGTGCATGATACAAAAGGAAAGCCTGACTAAACAAGTTTTAAAATATTTTGCAAAACCAAGGACAAGCAGAGGTTAACTAAGCCTCTGAGCATACGTGCCTGATAGCATGAGAGCTGCGTTTATTCCTTCACAGAATACAGGAGAGACTTTCTTAGCCATATAAATATGCAAGTTTTAATAAACACCTAGTATATATTTGCTTAATATTAATAAGGAAGAACTAAAATAGTAGGCCTGAGGTCCCAAATAAGTGCTAAAAGGTACATTCTGGAAGTATAAGATAGAGATTTGAGCGACTGAAGAAATGTTTTGCATGTTAGGAGCTGCATCAGAGTAAGAGTTTTACTTCCCGCTGTTCATTTAGCTGGAAGCTTTGGGCATGGTGCTGTACCTTAACCACCTACCTTTCTCCTCCTCAATCATCTCCACAAGGTACCGGCTCTCCTCTTGCACTTTGTCCTCAAAACTTACAGCAATGCTTTTTAGTGTTGCTGAAGCAAATTTTCTCTGTTGCCTCCATATATGCCCATTTGATGATATGAGCCCTGTAGGTGGAAAAAACAAGTGAACAAACCTCGCTCTGGGTCATGTATGAGTGATAGGATTCAGAAATGGCCATTCATCTTGAAGAAAAACCCCAAACCAAAGCAAACAAACCCCACAGACATTGAAAAACTATAGCTTTGCCTGGGAATTAAAATTCAAGAGTAATTGGCTTATGCTAAAGATCTAGCTTTATGGATTTGCTTTAATCTGCTACTTTGTCACTTTGCGTGGGAAAAAAACGTGTAAGCCAAAATACTATAAGTACTATCACGCTGTTGGCAGAGCTGCAGGCAGGAGCACCATACCCCGTCTCTGGAGCTATATGCAACTGGGGGAGAAAAAGTAAAGGAGAAATTAAAACCAAGGGGAAAACTCTTCAAGTGTATCGATCGCTGGGCAGCTTGCATTTATTTCTCTTCTTTCATCAAGACCTGACTTTGATCCCATCATCATCCCTAAATCCCAGAGAGATTAAAACATACACCTGTGAGATTATTAGACTGAATTCAGTTCTTGCTTTCCTCTGTGCAATCTTTTATGGGTGCAGTTAACAAGGGTTGAATTCAACCTGTTTCTTTCACTCTAATTGTTATCATTGCAGATAGATGAAACGTTTGTACCAAAATCCTGGTAGCTGTGCTTACCAAAGCCTCTAAATATTTCTTAGAGGAGTGGACTATTTGGCCGATCTGTAAATATTTCAGCCTGGTGGACAAGAGCTTCTCTCACCATCTGGTACCCGTTGACTACCACAAAAGTCAGACTTCCAAACTGCACACTGAAGATGTTCCTGTACTGACCAGTAAGCTGAAAGAGAGTTCATCGCCTTCTGAGAGCAAGAAGGTGGAGATTTTCAAAACTCACCTGGACAAGACCTCGAGCAATGGCATCTAACTTTGAATTTAGTCCTGCTTGGAGCAAGGGGACTTAAGAAAAACCCAAACCCAAGTCTGCAGGTCCCATCCAACCTAAACTATTCCATGAAGGCTGGAGACGGCATAAAAATGTTAGAGAGCTGTAGTGTGGGAGAGATGGTTTGCTTATATTTGTTAGTGGGTGTGACCTGGGTTTCACCAGGCAGTTGCATCAATTTAACTTGTAACAAGGACATTACTTGCTTTGTAGCTGATGGGCATCTGCTCCCTCCCTCTTTTTCACAGGAAGGGTACTAGAGGTAAAGTCACCACCTGGGTCACCACGCCCAGGCTCTTGCTGCTGAGGGCAAGGCACAACAAATAATCCCTTTCATCAATTTTGTGTCTAAAGTAGTGTGGTTTCTTGTTCCAGCTATTCTATTTAGAAAGTGGCTCCAACTGCTGATGGCTAGAAACCTACTTCTAATTTTAAGCCTGAGTACATTTATGGCTAAATTATAGCCATTCTCCTTCCATGAACTTTGCTGACATTAGTGTCTCCTGTGCAGCGTTCAACTCCCTGATGTGTAAGAGCAAAGGGCGATCATATCATCTCTTGGGCCCCACTCTGCCAAGGAGCTCGGGCCGTCTTCTTCTTAGTATGAGTCTACATGAAAGGACATACATGGTCACCCTGAAATGCCATGGTGACTCATGAAACCAGTCTGGGGCCAAATGGGTGTCTCAGTCATTGTGTGCATGTAAATGAATGTGACTAATTTTATTAATAATAATTGTGTGTATTGACAAAATATCCTGAGCATGCTGCCTCAGCCTTCCCCAACGGTTTCCCTAGGGGACACCCATCCTAGTGGCCTGTGAAAACCCAGGGCAGATAGGCTGGCGACAGCCTGCTAAGTAAAAGCAAGAGAAAAATAGTCACCAGAAAGGATATTTGCAACCAGCAAGTCGGAACTTCTCCTTCCACTTTTTCGGAGAAGCATACTCAGCATGTATAAAATATCTCTCTTCTGTTGGCTTTGGAGGGAGTCAAAGCTCTGGAAACCTTTCCAGAGCAATCACTGTCTCTTTCTGCGACACAGAAGAAGCCACAGGGATGGTTAACTCAGGGTCTTAAATGTTTCTTTTAGATGTAATGGGGCAAATCGTTGGCCTCTGAGCAAAGACAATGACAATACAATTTCCAGAGGTGATGTTCACAGTCCAAACAGTTCATTTCTCACACAGCGCTTGCGATCCCTCCCCCAGCCTGGCCCAGACCCTCCAAACCCTTCCTGGGCTCCAGCAAAAAATGGTCATGGTCAGATGGGAAGAAAGAAGAGGAACATGTAGGTCTTCTTCCATTATGGGTTTCTTTCCCATTGGACCTTCCTACTCCCATGGAAGAGGAGGTGATACTAAGAGAGAAAACCAAGAAGGATTGTATCTCATACATGGTTATTATATAGCTAGTTCTTCAGAGGCTGCCCTTGCTTCACAGGTTTGGTGACAAAAGTCACTGAAGAGGTAAAATATTGTTAGTAGGAGAAATGTCCATGGAGCTCTTACCTTCTGCAGCGCAAGATGGAGGGGCTGCTTAAAGTCCACAAAGGTTCCCACGAGAGGAAAGAGCTGTGGCCCTGGAGGGAAATTCCTGGGATGCCTCTTTATCACAAGGTATATAATCAAAAGAAACGTGATCAGAACCACCAGGAGTGTCCAACTGTTCAGGTTTTCCAAGAGAGAAACCAAATCGGGCCAAAACTGAAGCTCCATCTTGGCTGATGAACTCACGGATTTTTGTCCCAGGAAGGGACTTGATGCTCGTGTTACACTTGCTAAAACAGGAGTGAGAAAGGACTGGAAAGAAAACAAAACAAGCTAAGAAGCTGATAGCTTACTGGGGACAGGACTTGCCATGGGCAAGCTGCTTTCTCATATACAGCTACTGCCAGACCACCTGCTGAATAACTAAGTTTAAACACCAGGATCTCCAAAACCAACCCCAAACCCTCAAACGTTTGGCCCAAACAAAAGCAATCTTGCAATCCTTTAGCTTTACATCTCTGTCAACTCCCTAATTTTCTTATGGAAGAATATTCCTCCCTTCTGCCCTTAACAAGGAGCTCCTTTATACAGACAGCTAGCTGGGATTATAAGTGTTACAAACATTTGAGGTTAGGTGAAAGCAGCTTACTTGGCTAATTACATATGGTGGGTGTTGCATAATTTAAAAAATGGTAAGGCATCTGAGGTGATGGACAACATACAAGCTGCTAAGGGGCTGATCCTGTTAAGGGCTAAGCACTGTCTGCAAAGGGCTGGATGCCTTCAGTGCCCACCAAAGCCTGCCCGGCTTTGCCAGAGTCATCAGGTGAAGTTCGGACAAGGGAAGCACTGCAAGAGCCCAGGGCTCTGCCCAGCCACTTAAACGAGAGTTAAAGGAGCTTAATTTCAAGAGTGAGAACATAGGCTCATGTGCTTGCCAGCTAAAGGAGAGATTGGAACTTATGCATTTAAATCTCCTGGGTTTTCCGAAAATCTCCTTTGAATAAAGCTTCACGCTGTCCCGGGCGGAGGCTGCGGTGGACTGACAGTGACCTCTGTGACTGTCAATCAACCTTGAGTCGCCTGCCAATATTTTAGCTACAACTTCTTTCCAGGTCTTTTTTTGTTTTTTCTTTTAAGAGATTTACTTTGCAAACAATCTAAACTTATACCAAAGCAAAACTCAATAATGATTTTTTAAATTATTTGCCTAGAAGTTATGGTGAAAAGTTCAGAAGAATGGTAAATTTTTATTGTCTTCAACATTTTTCAGAAAGTTTTAATTTTTCAGGAAAAAAAGGAAATTTTCATAGGAAATAATAATTAGGAAAAATTTTGGTATTCTTCAGTCTTTCACCACTTTTAAAAGCTTTGCTGTCCATGTCTTTCATTACCTTGGTGACTGCAGTGCCAGCAGAAGCACACATAGGCTGTATGACAGACCTGCACCTTAGTTATTGCAGGAGTCCTTTTTAAGGGTAATACCTACCTGCAACCCAACACTTCTTGGTTTGAAATATTATTTACAGGTTTCTGGATGGTATTAGGCACCAAATGTGGAGCAGTAATGGGAGAAACATCTCACATGACTGGTCTATAATGTATATTTTACGTATCACCTTAGTACAGCTGTGAGCAGCAGTGGTTGGACATACTTTGCTTGTCCCCATGCCGGTGCACCCGTGATGCTCCCGTACCCATTTGCATCAACACACCTTTTCCAGCCTTCCCAGTGTGGCAAGCCAAGCCTTGCTTACCAGAGGCTAAATCAGGATAGTGGGCTCGTTCTCTTCATCCTGGCATCGGGGAGATGACTCGGTTGGTGGAGGTGTCAGCCTACAGCATGCTCAAAGGGACTGTGATGATAAGGCGTCAACTTCTGCTAGCCCAGTTTCACTCCTCTGTTCTTCGCTATGCCATATGATTTGTCAGCATGCACACAGAGTGCAGATCCCTCTACCACTTGTGGCTGCTGTGAATCGGGCTACGTGCAAAGCCAAGGTGTTAATGTGTTCTTCTGGGTGGTGTTGTGGGGGTGGATGCATCGTGGTTGACAGGAGAAATGTTATTTTTAGCAGGAGGAGCACATTTTGCATGTACTCACATGTGTCTTGTCAGTCAGAAACCTCAAGCCTATTACTTTGCCTTGAAGCTTCACATGTCCAAATGCATCTCTTCACAAAGTCCTTAACACGCCAGATTTACTAAAAATTAGGGAAGAGCATTCCAGTATTACCAGGGCTCTTCTAACCTCAGTAGACAATAACACTAGCATGTTACCAAACTGCATTGTGACAATGCTATTTTGGGTCCCAGGCTTTAATCAAATCAGTTCCCAGCACATGGTGATGTGCAAATCCCCAAAGCACTGAGGAAGTCATATTGCTGCAGCGCATGGGCAGTACAAGAGTGTTGGACAATTCCTAGTTTTGCAGTCTCGAAAAGACCCTTAGCTGTAAGATCCTGGTCACCTGGAAGATGAACCTGTGCCTCTGGCCAGCACCACAAACACAGGAACATCAGTCTTCTGTGGTCCAGATAACCAAAATATGAATTAATATGAGATAAGGATGTACACCCACACATCTAATAGGGAGTGGGATGTAAACCCACAGTCCCCAATTCTTCCTTGAATACCTCTTCTGACCACAGTACACAACTTTTTGATCACCTCACCTGAGCTCATGGATACTGGGTAGATAAATTGTGCCATATTGCATGGACACACACACATCACTGCTTGAATATTAAGGCATCTTGAACAGCCAACAGACAGAAATTGGCCCATATGCTTTGTACCTTCTTCCCTGGCTAGATGTCTAACTGTGTGCAGAAGGTTTTGAAACACAAAGAGAAACATTCTGTTAAAAATGCAATTACCATTTGTTTTTCAAGATATAGTATCCCATTATTTTTTCCAGAGAAGTGAAATTCAATAAGGTTACAACAGAATGTAGTCCAACAGTTACCGTACTTTCAGAGCATTATTTAAGCTACAGAATTTCTTAATGATTAGAAACATATGTAGGAAAACTCACATGCAAAATGAGAATGACTGGAGACAATTTTCCCCCAAACACTTTTTTTCAGGCAAGTGACAGCTCACCCACCACTGTGGTTCCATCCACCACATTGGAGGTGTGAGACCCCCACCCAGCCAGGGAGCCATGTGCTCAAGTCATGTCAACTGACAGGCTCCATCAAAGTCCAAGGACCCATCCTGATTTACATCAAGGAATATTTTGCTGTTTCTTTCCTCCTTATGTCAGGCCCAAACGAGCGATGCCATTTTCACCACAGGCAAGCTGATCAACGGCAGCAACCACCCTGATGTGCGTGTTAAGGCCATGTCCCAAAGAGCTTTCACACAGGTGTAGCTGCCATTTCACGATCCAGCCCGGGTGAGTCCTAATGGACCCGGAGGCACTGGCAGCTCTGGACACTCATTTCCTTTTAGGATTTGCTTTACTGGATCAAATGAAATCTACAGGAGATTTGTAATTGCAGAAGGCAAGGAACGGAGAGTGCTGGGGCACCCGTACCTCCTGGAGCAAGCTCAGGAAAGACATGTTTGAACCCAGTCCTTAAGCTTAAAGTTCCTCACTTGGGGTGATTCCATTGGGACATAAATGCTTCCATGGGAGCTCAGGGCTCAAATATCTCTGGGAGTCTGAATCCAAGCCCCAAAATCAGGAAGCCAAGTCCATATTTACTGCTGTGCATGTGTGGCAAATACTAAGGTGCCTCCAATTTTGCATCTTTATTCTCCTACCTAAGACTAGATGCAAATATTCTCCAGGTTTTCCTGGGACTCCCACAGATCTCTCAACTATAGCCTCCTGGCCACAATAACATTTCCAGTACTAATTAAAGCTATAAGGCAGGCAACTGTGACCATGAATGGGTAAACTGAGGCATTATGAGCCTAAGCCAAGTGGTGTGAGTAGACCTACAAAGTGTCCCATTGTGCAATCCAGGAGGGATCCCAGAAGACAGGAGGCTTGGTCCCCTTCTGTAACAGACCAAAATGTCCCTTTTCTGCTGTAGAAGACAATTGTGTTGAAGGGATTGCATTCAGATTTGTCAGCCAGATAATTAAATGTAGGTAGCAGGAAGTGCCACAGGGAGCAATCCCCGTACCTCCAGACACTGGATCACTCCCCTGACTTTTTGGTCTTTGGGCCAAGATTTTATTCCCTTCACAGCCAGGAGCTGCATCACCTTTGCCAGCCCCGCACCGCCCCGTGCCACCCCGCACAGCAGACCCCATACGGATGTATCGAATCAGATTTCGGGGGTGCCGGTTGCTTCCCCCCGAGGGGGCCATGCTTGCGGCGCTGCCGGCGGCAGCCACCCACGATCCCCCCAGCAAGACTCTGCCGCCGTCTGCTGCAACCTGGCAGAGCCGGGGCTGCAACCCCGGCTGTTCGCACGGGGCGGCTTCCCGCATCCGAGCTCTTCCTCTGATTCTCCATAAACCTCTAAAATACTCTCCTTTCTAAGATGCACCTTTTCAGTATTCACAGAGAAGAGTACAGTCACATATTCCTCTCAAAGCCACAAGGACTTGACTAGAGCTAAAATGTCATTTATGTACATATCACAAGCGTTTTTCTAGGCACAGATGTCTTTCTGGTGCCAATATGCTGTTTATGTACTTATCTGTCACAAGCACATGTCTACATACATATGCCCTGCTGGCAGAGGCACAGAGCATTTTGAAACTCTTATTAGACTGCTAATGAATAATACGCATACAAAGGAGAAAACAGAAGGTGGATCTATCAGGAACAGCCTCTTTCTTAACTACCTTTTAATTGTAGGAGAGGAAGAAAAGAGATGAATTTTTATATCTTGGCATCTGTGAAGGCCTACTTAGCAGCATCAAACGCCATCATTTTAAAAGCGGGTTTTTCACAGGTTTGGGTATTTGGGGGGGAGATTTTTTTTTTCTTAAAAAAAAAAAAAACACAAAATTTTGACACTGAGAGTATTGCAAATCCTGGTGCCAATGATGTACGATAGTGTGATTGTCACCATGGAATGCTGAAAAGCCCGAGCAGCTGTTTGGCATATTGACAGTGTGAATTCGGAGCGTTTTAAATGCAAATGACAGTATTCAATTGATCGCATGAAAACAATGGGTCATAGCCTTACCTTTCCTTGGCTACACTCTGAATAATCAGTCTGCAAATCCATGCACAATAGGGATATTGTACATGTTCTGGGGATTTTATTCCCCATGTAGATGGGGGTCAATACAATGCTTCTTTTGGGCAGAGCTGAAAAAGAGGCACTGCTGCACTGTCCTGGGCAGCAGGATGGGGTGAAGTGGAAAAAGGGGCATAATTTGCCCCAAATCCACCACGTCCTAAGTGTCAGCCTGTTTTTCTTCTCTTCTATCCTTTTCTGCTTGCTCTTTAAGGGTGGCTGGCTTTCTGCCTGACTTGTCTCCATTATACCCTGCTGCAATCAATATGGCAAGCAGAAATCAGCAGGAGAAGGCATGTTCTGCTCTCAGTGAGAGCCGGTGGGAGGGAAGGAGATCAGGCCAGCCAGCTGCAACCCCAGCCCGGCAGGCAAACCAAAATCCAGTCGAAAAAGCTGCCGCCAGACGCCTGGGTCTTGTTTCCTTCATGGTGCCCCCCGCCTGGCAGCAAACAGCAGGTAAAGGTCTTCCTCCCTCTCCCAGCCCAGGGAGGGCAGGCAGGAAAATCTAGCCGTGGTAAAATTTCCACTGAAAGCAGCTTTTTTGCAGTGGTGGAAAGAAGAAGAAGAAGGGTCCTTCCAAAGCAGAAAACTCCAGGATGGGGGACCCAAACTTTCACCCTCTGCAGGACCGTTACATATGGACACTGCTGAGCTCTTGATGGTACTCACACTGGTTCAGGTCTTCAAGGCTGGCCATGCTAAATTGAAGGCAGCCACTGCCACTCCTGAATATCTCTAGCCATAGCTTTTTGTTTTCAAGACCCAGATTTCTTTAAAAACAATTTCAAAAAACATGCAGGAGTGCCGTGGGTGAGGATATCACCCAGACAGTGCTATCTGCCCATGGCTTTACCTTACAGGATACACATATGACATCTCCCTCCAAGAATTTTAACTTTGTGAATTTCTTCCCTTTCCTTATTTTGTAAGCCTGAAAAAGCTTTTCAGGATCTGTTCCCACTCCTGCAATCCCCTGATTGCAGCTAAATTGTACCAGTGATCAGTGCTTTTCTGTCACCTGTGCTTCCTTCCACCCTTCTGGTGTTTCAGTCATAAGCATTTTAGGTCAAGCACTGTTTTTTCGGATCTCCTTGACCCATGGGTTGTGTGCTCTCAGCCAGCTCTGAGTGCTAATGCAATACAACCAATATACAAACAGCATCGCAATTGCCAGAGCAGTTGCTGAGACGTCTGCGAGATGCCCATGCTCAGATTTGCACCTAGGATCATAAGGTTGAGTTGAACATCACAAATGGCTGATGTTCTTGAGCTGTCTGAATGTGGGGTCTATGTGGTGGGCTCCTTGCACCAGAAATTGGCTTCTCCAGGGAGTTTGCCAATTAGAAAATGTTCCATTTAAATGGGGAGGTTCATGAGGAGTTGGAAGCTGGAGACCACATGGCTAATGTCATCCATTTATGGAGTCATGTTAGGAGGCTCTACAATTTTTTCAGGCTTTCCCAATCTTTTCCAGCAATCCTGCCTGCGTATGAAAATCAAGTGACTTCTCTGTACAGCTAAATTACACCTATTTCAGCATTCAGCTTTTTAGTCTCTGAAGGAAGGCAATGAATAAAACCTAGCATCGTTATTACCTTTGCCTTCCTAAGATAAATCTGTTTACCTGTAAAACAGATGCATTAAAAAACAATCAGCCAATAGAAATAATTAGTTACAACATAGGCATGTGATTTGCTCAGCCTCTGGAACAGGGTAGGGTCTTGCTTAGCTTGAACTCATTGCTGATGGATGCCTGGTGAAAGGTCTTGGAGACTATGTACTCAGCTAATCGCTGGGGAGACAGAAAATGATTACTTCAGAGAGACATTGCTCAAGTCAGCTCTGCAAGAAATTCATCACCAACAGCATTGGCACCACACATGAGCAGCGGCGTATGGAAACTGAACTGTAAAAAGTAATAAAATAAGTGAACAAAGGGAATATCACATACCATGAGCGTGGGGGAATGTATCATTACCCAAAGGGAGAAACATTCTTATTTAGCGGGCCTTTGTTTAGTTAAAGGAAATGCTTGTATGTGGGGATTTAGCTGTGAACACAGAGCCTTTGTTTTCTGGGAACAAAGAGAACCACACCAACACAGGTTGGTAATGGATAAACTTTTTATCAAACTATGCTGAGATGGAAGGTAAAGCCTTGAGCTTGCTATCAAACATGCAGGACTGGCCTCTTGTGCCTAATATCCCATGGCTCAAACAGTTGCCCTTGGAAGTAAATTTATAGCTCATTTCCGCTTAGCTCTAAGTGGCCAGAAGACCACCCTAAAATAAAGCCACCGCCAAGACCAAGAGGAGGCGCTGATGCAAAAGGCTACTCCCCCCTCATCATGCACATGTCTTAGCAAGATGGTCTTGTTAAGTATAAACCTTTAAAGGAAGTAGATGTTGCATTTAGTCTGGAAGGCCAGTGCTTGCTATGAGTCCTTCTGGGCAGATCCTCCTGCATGGAAACCAGGAATTGGGGTCCGAAGACTTTCTGTGAGCCCTTTTATGATAAAGGTGGAGCACAGCAGTCTTCAAAAGCTCACAAACATGCAACGAAGTGTTGAACTTCATGTTGAATATGACAAAATCCCTCATTGTTCACAAATAGCTTAGCACATCTGGAATGAAAAAGAAGATGCCTTGTCTTTAGCTAAATGGGGGTCTGATCTCATTCTACCAGAATGAGAAGGATAACAATAAAACCACTCCACAATTGTCCCTTGTGATGACAGGACCAGTAGAATTTTTCCAGTCTTCCTCCTGCTGGCAAATGGTAGAAGGCAAAAGTCTTGCAGAGACAGAAGGAATAGAAACAAAATGCCTTGCAGAAGGCTAGAAAACTTTCCCAAAGCATTTTTCTTTAAACTTAACCACATGATTTACAAGCTTATTATTAGTTCCCCCCCCCCTTACATAAAAAGAGAAATTTAAAAAGTGTAGATTAACACATTTTTGGATATCTTCCAAGTTCTCCATTCCTCTGCATAAAGGATTATTTTGACAAATCAAAGATCACTTTTTGGGTGGCCTGGAGAGAAGCAAATTTGTGCTCTCTTTGTAGCAGAAATGATACAGGGCACTTACTTGTGTCTCTCAGACAATTACAGAGACGAATCCAGTCCAGCTTCTGATCTAACTGTAATAAAATACCAGCTAGTGATTCCTGAGAATTTTTTCTAGATTGGTCCAACATGGGCTGGGGACTGCCTTGAGTACCTTAATCTCTATCTAGTAACTACTCAGAAGCTACTAGAGGTTCTTCAGTGAAGGGAACACTTGTGAGGTGCTGCAAGACCATCTTCCGTGGAGGCCTCTACTGATAACAGGCAGTTTATTTATCAGTAATTTATTCTTCATTTTAAATGTATCTGTTTCTTATCACAAGCTGCTCATGTTTCTGAATTGCTTGAGAACTCTTTTTTAAAAGATGTCTAGCCGCTGAGCAACACCTGGGTCACACTAGATGAGTGCAGAAAATGCCCCTGAGCAGGTGGCTAAACAACATTGTGGTGGAGAGCACATATTGTGGCAGAGTGCAATCATTGGGATGTCTACTACCCTGCTTCTTCTGGTAGCAGCAAGTCCTATTTTGGTGTAGCAAAAAAGCATCATGCCTAAATTACTCATCCTGTTCACCAAGAGCAGCACTCCTGGAAATGCCCTGGTGTTATCCACCTTTGTGGTACCCAGGTGGACACCATAGTGCCATCCACGGGGCATGCTGGGTTTCTCACTGGGATCTAGCCGCAGGTCACGGTCTAGCCCTGCCACAGTGATCATTGTGCATCAGACAAGAACTCCTCGTGGCCTTAAGGGGTACGGTCACATTGATGGATTAAAGCACGTATTGGAAAGGTAAATGGGTCAGCAGAAAAAGTGCCCAGAGTAGGTCAGAGAGGCAGTTTAAGAACAAATCAAACCACTATGAAAGAAACAATTGTCCTGGAATGGAAAATATATATATATATATATTCACTTAAAGGCAATCTTCGTAAACAGGTTGAACAAGACTATGAGGCTGGAGGAACAGATGGGAAAATGGAACAAACAGATGGAAAAACTCTATTTCTGAAAAAAAAAAATCTATTTGTAAAGCTATAGCTACTTTGAATGAATGTTTCAATGTTAGGGAGCTGAGGCATCAGAAAATTCGTAACAAGGCCATAAATTCATATATCTGAGATCAATAGGATGGCAGGTCTTTTAGGCAGGTGAATAAGGTGCTTCTTAAACA